GCCCATGAGCCATGGCCGCTGAGCCTGTGCGTCCGGAGCCTGTGCTCCACAACGGGAGAGGCCACAGCAGTGAGGGGCCCGCGAAAAAAAAAAAAAAAAAAAAAAAAAAAAAAAAAAAATGGCTAGGGAAATTTCAACTCTCCATTAAAAGTGCTCTGATCGTGGTCCTTTTAGTCAATACATTCTGGTTACTGGACAACAATATCCATCACTTTGTTATATATGTATTTTTTAATCACCTCAAATATGCATTTGATTTGATCTTTTTAAGTTAAGATTTCAAGCACCATAGCCATGTGGTCAACAGATGTGTACCAGGTGCAGTAACGCACACGCACACGCACACACACGCGCACACACACATACATTTTAAGCTGCAGTTAACAGAAAATTGGAAATCTTTGCACTGTTTGGACGACGAAGCTCGGTGAACCATGGCTCTGTTTCTTCCGGCTTCTAGATTGTGTTCGAGGGAGTTATAGGAAAAGGACGTTCGGGAGAAATTGCCATTGATGACATTCGGATAAGCACCGATGTCCCGCTGGAGAACTGTATGGGTACGTGAATATCTGTCTCTTTGTGGCTCTTCCAAGGGCTGGGATGTACAAGAAGAGACAGCACGTCGTTTTCAAACACAGCTCTTACCCAGTGGGTGGGGCAGCTCCAGTCTGTGCGGGAGGCGAGGTGTGAGTGCAGTTATAGCTTGGGCTGCATTCAGGACGGGAGAGGGGTGAGATGAGGTGAAGTCTTATATCCCCGTTCCCATTCAGAAATAGACACGCACTAAGTATATGAAGATTCAAGGTGCCAAGACCCCCATCATCAGACTCCAGCTTTTAGCAAAGAAAATGCTAGAGGGCGAGAGCAACTGTCAGTCAGAATTACATGATGGAAAGGTTTGATGGATTTAATGGAAACCTTCACTGGTGAGCGAAAATAGTACATATGTTATATCAGAGTGATAACACAATTACCCAAGTAGCTCTTTTACATGAATGAATTGCAGGGCAAGGTATGGCATGTGGAGTAAGAGTTTAGATTTTGCTTTGAGACTAATATCTCTAATGCTCAAGATGCCAAAGTTGTAAGATTAAACATTGCATGCCAGGTGACCAGCATAGGAAGGACACTGTCACCTTGGACAGAAGTGCTGAGCAGCCAGCCCGCCTGAGATGCACACATTTTACCTAGTTCACCCCCACGGGCCCATCAGAGCCATGGACATTCCCCAAAGCAAGAGGAAATCCTGAGAAGGAACGAGACCTACTTTCAGTCTGCAGAGTAACTATAATAACTCACCAAGTGCTTTTCTTGGCACGTGGGTCCCAGGTGTGTGTGTGCCTGATGACGTCAGAGCACCTGGGACCACCCTAGTCTCTTCAGGCAATTCTCGGGGCCCCAGGCATCTGAAAGTAATCCAGGCTCTGAGAAAGTAATCAGTGGTAAGTGACTGATTACAATGCTTCAGGGACCCATTACTCTATAAAGGACTTTTTGTTCCAAAGCAGCTTTGAGAATCTTTTCCCCACCTACCCGGCCCCCATGACGATGATGTGTTAGACATGGGCTAGAGCATGTGGAGGACATGGGGTACTTTCCGTGGGATAGTATAAAAGAGCTTGATGAAATTCATCTTCATCATACCCTTTGTTCACCCTATTTCTTCCCCTTATCTAACTCAAATTTTTTTTCTGTTTTTTTTCCAGAACCCATCTCAGCTTTTGCAGGTGAGAATTTTAAAGGTAAAAAAAGTTCTTTTTAAATTTCTGCATGCCTTTTCCTTCCCCCCATGTGATACGAATTTGGTGGAGGCAATAAGCCTCCAAATTTGACAAAGCTCACAAGAGAAAATAGATGCCACACCTTCTGACCGCTAGGTGGCGCCAACAACACCTGTAGATGCAGGGAAAGGGGGATTGAGATCCTCACTGTCTCTTTAATTAAAGTTTAGAAACCTGTAATAGAGACAAATAGGTTACAGATAAACCTTTCAGCTTTGCACTGTCCAACAGAGAGCAATGAGGCTGAACATGCAGGAGTGGTGAGAAACGAGAGGCTGTGGGGAGACTGAACAACAAAACAAGTGAAATGAGGTGGCAATGATTTATTTTCGCCTGAAGATGCTTTCTTTCCAGTCACAGGGTACCAAGGCAGCGGTCTCAATTAACCCTCAGTGAGGTACACTGGTGGGCAGTTTTGTGAGGGAAGAAAGTTAGGGGAAACACGCAAGGAATGATAATCCAAAGGGGGGAAAGTTGCAAAACTCAGGGACTCATTATCTTCACTCTCAGTAATCTGTCCAGCTCCTGGCTGGAGAGAGATGACTTCCTGGGTTGCCACCTAGATGTGCTCTCTGACTCCAAATCATCTCACCCAGTTTGCCACTCCTCAGCCACAGCCCTGAGACAGTAGCTGAGGAAGAGGACAGCAGCACGGGGAATGGCAGACCTACCTACGCAGAATATCTTTTCTTCCTTTTTCACCTTTCCTTGCCTCCTAAACCCCATCCTCACTCCCCCCCCCCCCCCCCCATCTGTCCAGCTCCTGGCTGGAGAGAGATGACTTCCTGGGTTGCCACCTAGATGTGCTCTCTGACTCCAAATCATCTCACCCAGTTTGCCACTCCTCAGCCACAGCCCTGAGACAGTAGCTGAGGAAGAGGACAGCAGCACGGGGAATGGCAGACCTACCTACGCAGAATATCTTTTCTTCCTTTTTCACCTTTCCTTGCCTCCTAAACCCCATCCTCCCCCCCCCCCCCCCACCCCGCTGCACATTTTAAAGTATTAAGAGTATTCATGTGCATTTGTTGGTGCTCCTTGGGTGTGAGATTTATGTTAATGTGAATCGAAAAGTATTGGAAGGAAAGCTGAGATCAAAACTGAACGGCTTGGAGTACAGTTGAATTCAAGTTCTAACTTTCGGGACCCAAGGTAACGTGGACGCTCGGGCAGTGAAACTTGCTTATGTTGTTTCACATGACTTTGATTGTTGAGACTCAAAGCTCCCAGGAAAGGCTGGTTACAGACTTACAGCCCGTGCTGCAGACACTGTGCTGTGTGAGCACACATGTCTGGGTCCGTGAATGACACGTACAGTGGCTAAGCACTTTGCTTCTGTAAAAGAATAAACAAACCAGGGCACATGTGCTGTCCCGGAGGCTGTGTTTACCATGAGCGTCACAGGCCAGTCATGTTCTCTTGTAAAATACATATATATATAAATAAAACAGCCTCAGAGCTGCAGTGCTCATTTAGCCAAAATAAACACAGGGCTTAGGGACTCTAAGGTAAGAATTTCCAGTGCACTCCCGATGGACTGCTTTGGGGGTTAAGCAAAGGCAGCCCACGAGTGGCATGGATTGGCCCACGGCTGTTGTCTTGAGAAATAACGAACATCTTTGGAAGGAGGAAACCAAGCTGTGGGGAGCAGAGACTCGGCTAAGGAGTCAAGAGCAGGACAGGAGTTGAGAATGGACAGTTTCAATTACATCGGCAAGTTTTACATGGAACTCTGACTTGGTAGCCAGATGAACCTGGGGCCGGGGAGGATTCTGTTGGGTTGAGGCCCCTCTGACCTCAGCAGGCACCTCGGGATTTTGACTTGAGCGAAGCCTTCCGTTTGGGAGAGGAAAACGGACCATTCGCTCTGTCTAACCTACTCACCTCTCCTGGTCAGGGCAGCAGCAGCCCTCTCTTGCTGGGGGTGTGGATTCCTTGGGGATTAAACCAGGCTTTCACTCAAAAAGAGAAACAGAGAAATCAGGTTTGGGCAAGCAGGATATGGAAAGTTGATGGTGAAACAATATTCACAACAGGCGTATATATTGTTAGTATGTTTTTTTTGAATTGGAGTTGTTTGTCTTTTCCATTATGTATTAACCACGAGACAGAAGCAATCTTATTCTTTAGGAGAGATCTATGTGTACCAGGTAAATCTTTAAGGAAATGCAACAAAAGTGGCCTCTGGACCAGGGCTTATTAGGTAGTCTTGATATTTTATATTTTGAAGTGTCTTTCATTTTCTGCCTCTTACTCATTTCTTGCCATAGAACATTTTCTTTTAATTCAAAGACTCTGCTTGGGGTGTATACTTTGATTGCATACCGGGGTATGAGTCAGTAGTGAGGAGAAACAAGCCACGGAGGAAAAGAGAGCCATGTAGAGAAGGGGCGAGGAGGAGAGAGTGAATAAGCTGTGTTGTCATGTGATGTTTAAAGAGACGTTTTTCTGCTGTTGCTCTAAACAATGTAGCCTGGGTGTGCTTTTCTTTTTTCTTTCTTTCTTTCTTTTCTCTTTTAAAAGCACCGACTATAGACAAAGTGCCGTCGTGTATCTTGTTCTAGAATTTGAGCTTTTACAAATGAAAAACTGTGTGTAAGGGTCGGGGGATGGGGGAAAACCAAAATGGGGTGTAATTAAGGTGATGGATTATTTTTTCTTAACCAACACTTTCTGCTTTCAATAAAAGTAAAAAGAGTAATGAGGAAGCCAGTAAAAATATATAAAGCCCCTAATCAGAGTTCTGTAGTTGTTAACCAGCCAGTTATTTTTAGCAGGTCACAGTGGAAGCAAGAGTTCTTATTCATGTTAGAGGCTGTGGGCTTTGAACAAAGCAGGAGCAAAGAGACAGAGTCTGGTACCCTACCCGTCAGAGACCCATGGAAATCTCAGTCCCCAGGTGGGGGCAGGGTGGGGGGAGGGCAGTGAGAGTGAAGGATTCAGAAGTGCCGTGTCTACCACTGATGGATGCTAAAAGGAACATCAGTAGCTCCTGTTCAAGCCTGTGAACATGGGTTTTATGCCTCAGACCAGCTCTGAGGGCTGTCGGGCCCATCTCTTGGGTCTCACCTTGTGCAGTCCTCGGCAGTTTTCAACCAGGTAAAACCAGGAGAAAGTGGACAGCACAGGCTATCTCCTGGGCATAGAGGGGGCCCATTTTGAGCTAATGACAGAGCTGGCTTGGGTTTGACCCTATGCATCAGGTTTTCAGTTCTGGTATTTGGTTACCAACCGGCCCATCTCCGCCATTTCCCGCCCGCATCTCTCTGTCCCCACCCTCATCCCCAGTCGGCTGCCTCCCGAGGCTTTGTCCCCCAGTGTGATGAGCCACATCCCAGGGCACAGGACGTGGGGTTGGCCTCAAATTCCCTCTTTCTTTGGCGTCCCTCCCTCCCACGGCCCTCTCCACTAGAAACAGTTGTGAAACACAGTGAGGGTTAATGGCGTTCCTGCAGTAATCCTCTGATGAAAGGCGGAGTATTCCTAAACCCTGCCAGGGCTCCAGACAGGCAGCTGTGGGGTGTGACTCTTTCTCCTTGGCCCCCTCCCCCTGACGTGCCCAGCTGCGAGATCAGGGCTAGGTATTGCTGAGCCGGGAAGCCTGGAGATGAGAAGTGTGTGACCCGCTCACTGCCTGGCTGTGGCTGCTCGCCTGAGGGGACACCGAGGCATCCTTTGTGAGGTTCAAGTCACAGAGGCCTGACGTGCTCCCTCCCCCCCCACCCCCGCACGTTTACCATTCATCTAAACAGCTGCCAGCGCCAGTTTCTCTAAGGGGAGAAGGAATTTCTTTTCGCTGACTGTTCCTCTCTCCAGGAGCCGGAAGGACAAGCCTTAGTTTACAAGAAGTAGGCCTGTGTATAGCTCGGTGCTCTGTGACCACCTAGAGGGTGGGATGGGGAGGGTGGGAGGGAGACGCAAGAGGGAAGACATATGGGAACATATGTATATGTATAGCTGATTCACTTTGTTATACAGCAGAAACTAGCACACCATTGTAAAGCGATTCTACTCCAATAAAGATGTTAAAAAAAATAAATAAATGAAAGAAATAGCCTAAGTGCCACCAAAGAGAGGACAAGTGTCTGAGACTTCAGCCAGCCACACATCTGAGTTTAGGTGGGTTTAGACAGATGTGGGAGACCACCAGGTCTCCTGCTAACCTAGTGGAAACCTTCCGGTGATCCGCACACACACTGAGTGCAAGGCAACCCAGAAGAGTCATTTCACAGGGAAATTTTGCACTTCTGCATTCTTCTTTCCAACAGATCAGTGGGCGTGACCACATTCTTCGACTCTCTGCTGTAAACTTTTCTAGAGGAGCCAGCCTTCTCTCTTGTTTGTTTAATCTCACAAATTACATAAGTCTTTCATCTGAAATGCCCCTTCACCAGCTCTTCAGTCTTCAACCTATGCATAAAAGACTGCAGACAGGCCAGGCCTGAAACACTTCTGATTTGCAATGAGCCTTTTTGTTTTTTCCCCTCTGAGAGAGATGATTTACCTTTGGTGTCTTTCGAAACATTTCTTTTGGAAACTTGGGTGACTCCTCCAGGTCCGGAGGACATGTCATAAACTTAGCTGTAGGAGATGCTGTCTCTTTCCGGTGATTCAGTGAGAACTCGACTGAGACAGTCCTCAGACAGCTTCCAACAGAAGTAAGAGGCAGAAATGGGGAGGGCTGCTTCGTGTTCCATCCCTACGTGGTTAGAACAGGGGTCTGCACACTTTTTCTATAAAAGGACAGATCGTAAATATGTTGGGCTTTATGACACTCTGTGTCACCACTACTCGCTGCCACTGTAGCACAAAAGCAGCCAGAAGCCATATGTAATAAGGGTGGCCGTGTTCCAAGACGTGCGGAAATAGGCAGTGAGCCAGATTGGGTTATCTGACCTCTGGGCTCCAGCACAGGCGGAGGATTTGGTCCACGTGCTTCCCGTCCTGACCCTGCCACTTCCCAGCGGTGTGAGCTTCCTCTGAGGGCTCTGGGCCATCTCTAGGGTTTCACTGTGTGCTGCCAACGCCGCCCCCGCCCCCAACCCCGCCGCCCTCCTCCTCAGTTTCCTACAGGTAGAACTGGGAGAAAAATCACTTATCCTCTCAGGTTCTCAGCTCTCCCATTTGAAAGTCATGAAGAATAAAGATGATTCACTATACAGCCCAATGCCCGGCACCCCGGAAGTGTCCATTCATTATAGTTGTAGTTATGGTCACATTTCCCAATTGCTTATTAATTCTATAACCCTATTTGCACAATAGGAATGGAAGAAAGCTACCGGCAGTGTCATTTTTTCCCCATATTTTCCTTCCATGCATGGCTTCTTAGAATTTGTTTCTCAAACTTCAAATTCTCCACCTTCACATTACTGCTTTCTCCACGTGGCTCAGAACTTTACAGGTGGAAGCCTGCTCAACCTTGCAAATACACTTGGAGTTACTGACTATTTAAATTTCTGTTTCTCATGATCTCACACGATGAGAAAACTTTATGGAAAATTAGAAGATAGAAATTAATGGAAAATTAGAAGGTAGAAATTAATGGAAAATAGAAGAGGCATTGAAAGCATTTTTCAATTGGGGGGAAAACAAGGTATGTGAGTAAGTGGGGGACGTTAGAACAATCAGAGGGGACATTCAGGTCCGCACGTCACCAGTGCTGGGCAAGGTTGAAGTCACCTGCGTTCTTTCTGCCATCCTGGGGGATGTGGCCCTGCCTGGCTCCTGTGTTGTGAAGCAAAGGCCCAGCCATCCCATATGGCTGAGGGGGGCAAGCGGGGCTAAAATGCAGCCACTCACCAGCCTGGGTACCTGGTGCAGGCAGCATCTGCCCAAAGGGGGCACCTTCTTGCAGTTTGACACAGAGGCATGGTATGAGCTAACAGGATCTAACACTTTCCAAGAATAACTATCCTATGAAGTACCATTAGGTCATCAGCATTTTTTCCAGGGAGTCTGAATGTAGGTCCAAAGTTCATTCCTCCATTCATCTGTCCACTCATTCATCTAATCACCCACCCATCCACCCGTCCGTCCATCCATCCATCCATCCATCCATCCATCCATCCATCCATCCATCGGACATTCCTGGGATTGCTGCTGTTATCTGGAAAGGTGCTTTGAAAGGGGATTTAACCCCTATTGATCTATCACCTTCCTTTTTTCTGGCTAGCAAATCACAGCCTCGTTAGCACACAGCCCCTGAAGACTGCCACAGAGCCAGGTTCCAAACCAGCGAACCACCAGCCTGTGGGAGCTGAGTCTCTTTAGCTGGAGAATGTCCTAAGAAACTCTGGCCCCCAACTGTAGGTCATCAAAAATTGCCTGAGGTGGGTGAGAGGAGGGCTGTTAGGTGTATCCTCTCTTTTCTGACTCCTTTAACAATAAAAGCACAAATTCATATAGTATGTTTTCTCATTTCTCCAAACAACTGTCCAAGGAAAAAGTTTAAGGAACCAATGTGACGTCCACCAAATGGCTTTTGTCACTAAAATTTTCTACATGGCAATCATTTCTGGGGAGGGGAGTGTTAGCGGGAAAGGGGAAGAGGGCTTTATAATAAAGTGGAGTTTGTCTTCCAAAGCAGAGCAGAACTTGAGGCGAGGGGTCTATCTCTGATTCTGAATCTGTAATCCACAGAATGCGATTTCTTCTTCCCCAGCAGGTCCCCTAGATCCTCCCCACCGTGCCCCAACTTTGTCTATCATAAGCCACACTTTAGGAGTCACATGAAGGCCCCAGCCCTGGCGCGTTGAGCCCTAGGGGATGTATTTAATGTTGAGGACCAGCATTTTGGCTGAGGGAAAGCAAACCTTTGAACTGAGACTATGCGGTGTTGGTGAGAATGTGAGCAGTTGTGACTCTTTTCTCCTTGACAAAAATTTGTGCTCCTGCTTTGTGGTCAGTCACTTCAGAGGGGAAAGTTAATCCCTATGGATTTACCGCCTTCCTTTCCTCTCACGGTGAGCTGCAGCCTCATTAGAGAATGGGTTTCACCGTGGACAGGCGGTGGCACAGAGGAACTTGGAGCCCATCCCTGCATGCTTTGTTGTTCCTCGTGCATTCTTCTGAGCCCACATGAAAATCCAATGGCAGGATGGTTGCCAGGCAGCAGATACTCTTGGTGACCTGAATAATGAGTTGACACCAGTTCCTTGTGACTCACGAGCTGGCCATTTCAAGGAGCCATTTTCAGTGCCTTGCTTTCTCTTTCTGTTTCTGTGCATAATTTTCAGTATGATCACAGAGAGAGGGAAGGAGAGAAGGAGGAAAGGAGGAAGGGAGCTTTCTCAGCTACAGTAATGAAATGATTAAAAGATGGAGGGCTTCCCTGGTGGCGCAGTGGTTGAGGGTCCGCCTGCTGATGCAGGGGACGCGGGTTCGTGCCCCGGTCCGGGAAGATCCCACGTGCCGCGGAGCGGCTGGGCCCGTGAGCCATGGCCGCTGAGCCTGCGCGTCCGGAGCCTGTGCTCCGCAAATGGGAGAGGCCACAACAGTGAGAGGCCCGCGTACCGCAAAAAAAAAAAAAAGAAATAGGAGTCTTCACCTCAGTTCAGTCTTTTAATCACGAGCATTTATGGAGCGCCTTCTTGGTGCATACCCTGAGGTAGAAACCAAGATGAGAGCGAGTTCTTCTGCTTGAGAGCTCCGCATCTCGTGAGGGAGGCGTGAAAATATAAAGGAGCCCTGTCTGAATCTTGAGCAGAGATCCACCCACAGAGTAGGACCAACGGTGCACGGAGAGGGCAGCAGCACCTCCCGCCCGTGACTCCCACCTGGAGTATCGCATGGATGGAGAGGATACATCTTTCTGGCCACCCCTACTTGATGGAGGCAGCTAGGGAGGAATTTTTTCATAGGTTAAGCATACACCATTTTTCAGAAGTAAGGATCATGTCTGGTTTTGGCAAGCTCAGAATCTCCTAGTCCCACTCTGGGCCAGATTCTCGTCTGATGTAAATGGTTGGGAGAATCAAGCTCTAGCACCGTTTTGCATCAAATGGGACTCTAGCCAGTCTTTCCCCAGAGTTACCCTGGGCTTAAATCTACAACATCATCTCCATGGCAACCAGAGGCTAGCCAGTGAATGCGGTTGCCTTCTAAATCCTCTGCTAGCTTCTCTTCCGTCCTCTGTCTTTTCCGTGATTAGAATGATCTCCCTCCCTTTGCTCTCACTTACTCTCGCTCTCACATACCTACTGTCGTTTTGCACTCACATTTCTTGGTTGCAACTTCCTTCCAATCAGCTTTTTAAATCCTCCATTCAATTAAAAAAATGAAGATGCACTACTCATTTCTTGACAGTGGTAATTGACCTGTTTAGACAAGACCAGGCTGATTTTCAGTGGGCATGGAAGCCTTGGCAAACCAAAGTGGAATTCCCCTTCAATTCTAGCCAGCCTAATTAATACATTGTTTGAGAATTCTGGCCAGCCAGACCAAATATTGTATTTCCGTGCATTCGGAGCATCAGTGCTATGGAATCCCAGAAGTCATATCAGCATCACTTACTTGCATGTATTCCTCTGTGTGTGTGTGTGTGTGTGTGTGTGTGTGCGCGCGCACGCGCATGTGTGTGTGATGTGTGTGAATCATAATGCTTCTATATATTATACAGTAATTGTGGTTTAACAGAAAGAAGAAAAGAGTTTTGGAATCACACAGCTCTTGGTTGGTTGAATATCGAACTTCCCACTTACTTGCTGTATAACCATTCATTTAACCTCTCTGAGCCTCTATTTCCTCACCTGTAAAATGGGTCTGACAGTACCTACCTCATAGGGTTGTAAGTAGGAAATAATATCAATCATTGAAAAGTGCTTGGCACACACTAAATACTCAGTACCATCTTATTCCCCTGTCCCCTTCCCTCTCCACTCCAAAGCATGTGTGTGTTTCTTTTCTTTTCTTTTTTAAATTAAATTTGGATTAGTCTGCATGCTCTCAGCCTAGCAACACTCTTCTGTGTCTCTCCACCAGGGGGCACCCTCCTACCGGGGACCGAGCCCACAGTGGACACGGTGCCCGTGCAGCCCATCCCAGCCTACTGGTATTACGTTATGGCCGCCGGGGGCGCCGTGCTGGTGCTGGTCTCCGTCGCGCTGGCCCTGGTGCTCCACTACCACCGGTTCCGCTATGCGGCCAAGAAGACCGATCACTCCATCACCTACAAAACCTCCCACTACACCAACGGGGCCCCTCTGGCGGTGGAGCCCACCCTAACCATTAAACTAGAGCAAGACCGCAGCTCGCACTGCTGAGGGCCGAAGCAAGGACGGCACCCAAAACAAACAAGAAAGACTGCAAACACGTTGCCTCGATTCTGCACTTTTTTCTCCTCGCCTAGTCTCTGTGTGAACGCTCAGACATCTCTCTCTCTCGGGGCCCAAACCCTGTGCGCTCGTATCCATCCCGACCATTCTCCTTGGGTTCTTTTGTTTGTTTGTTTTCCTTTTGTTGATTCCAATGCTGCATCTTGGAATACGAGAAGAGATACACCCCTAAGCACTTCACAACTCAAGGCTCAGCTGGTTTCCTTCCAGAGACTGGTTCCCTGTTTCTTCCCCTTGCCTTATCCCATCCCTCCTCTCGGTGGGCAGTCAGTCTGCCAGGAGACTTGAGGGGAGACCCGGATCTGTGCGTTTGTACACGGTATACATTTGCGTGTGTGACTAGCTCTGTGTGTGCGTGGGTGTGAGAGAGAGACTGGCTCATTGCAGGGGGGGAGTGTGTGGGTGTGTTCAGAGAGGGCCCCCTTTAACTCTTGTGTTACTTCGCTGGGGGTACATGTTCCAGAAAATAATATACTGTACTAGTTTTGTTTACTTGGAGAAGAGATTGAAGCTTTTTGTTGCCTTATCTAGCTCTGGCTGGGTTTCTGTTGGCTACCATTGTCATCTCCAGGTACCTAAAAAACGAGAGGCCACGTGAAAAGAAGTGTGGCCCCTCTCATTCCTATCCCCATGCCCAACCCACCTGACCCAAGAGGAAGGTTCCCCCACTGCGCTCAGACATGACCCCTTGTCCTTTCTAGGGCGTCTTTGAAGTCACATGACAACAGCCATTGGGTGCATGTGGAACCATCTCTACTTCCAGCACTGAAGCCAATCTGTCTCATGTTGCCTTATAAAAGAGAAGCTCATAATGAATGTTTAGCTTTTATTGGTTAAGTCCAATCTTGGAATAAGTCATAGAGAATAACAAATCTGAGACTGATGTAGGAAAAGCAGGAGCCTGTTGAGAGCACGAGGAGATGGGGGAGAAGGAAGGATGAAATGTTGTCTTTAAAAAACGTCCTCACCCACTGGGCATTCATTGTGCCCTGCTTAGGATGGGATAGAGTAAGAAGCTTAAAAAACGTATTCTTTGGTGTCATATTGATCATTGTAATAGCATTTGTAAAATGTGGGGGGAAAGGGGTCATTTGCTTTCCTTTCATGGTGTAAATGGGTGCCTGAATGTATAGCCACTAAAATATATGGCTGTTCACCTGACTTATTTGAATATTATGAGAGAATAAAAAGTTATCAGTTTTCTAAAATGTGCCAGTGTACTACCCCTTTAGAGCGTTCATGGCATCTGGCAAATACACCCTTATAGGCTGGCCTGGCATTTCCAGATGTTGCTGCATCGTCAGGAGAAGGTATAATGAAGATAAATCCTTTGCTGCCCATTCGTCCTCTCTAAACAGCACAGGGAGAGAGATATTAGAGATAAATTGCCTAATGATATTGTACGAAGGATAGATTCGATAATGAAGTCAATTTCATTGATAGAAAATGCGTATTTTATCGAGATTCTCAGTGTACTGGGGCTCAGCCTTGGGGGTGTTTATTTCTCACCTTCCTGCTAGGAATCCACTGAGGAAGTGTAAGATTCTCTCCAAAGATGGTTGCCTGGGCTGAAAGCCTCCAGGTACCTTCTGAGAACAAAATACTAATGATTTTTTTTTTTTTTTTTTTTTTTTGGCTGCTTGGGAGAGAGAGACTCTTAGCATTCTTTCGGAATATCCACATAGATCCCTCCAACACACACACACTCACTTTTGCATCTGCTTTGTTTCATCCTCCTGAAAGAATGGTGCTCTCCCACTCTTACTCTATTTCAAAGAGCTGGTCTGTCTCAACCACAGCAGCCCTACCAGGAAAAAAGATGAAAGGCTAGAGCATGAGCTACCTTGAGATTTCAAGAAGTGTCTTACCCCAGCTGAAGATGGAGAAAGAAAGATGGAGTGAGGGAGGAGGGGTGGCAGGATACCATGGATACCTTGTGATGACTTCCATGCCAATCACTAAGGGCTTTTTGTCTCAGGTATCTGTATCCAGTGATGCATTCGGGGTCAGGCATCCCTTGAAATGATTGACATCGCTATAGGCACCCCATGGAGGCGTGGTGTCAGGATATTCCGAAATTACACCTGGAAAGTCTAGCCAGTGTAGGAACTGTCTGAGTTACCATGCACCCTTGAGGATTTCCCTTCTTTAAAAGAAGATGACAACAACTTTGTGAAATTTGCTGTATCTTTATCTGATGCCCCATGTGGCATCATCTTTATGTACATGCTGTCATTGAGAATATGAGACTGCTCAAATCTCTGTGACTCCCATGATGCACTTCAGCTGGGGATGTCACACTTCTCTCTCTGTCTCTCTCTCTCTCTCTCTCTCTCTCTGCTCTTGCAGCCCAAGTGACTTTCATAGCATTATCCAGGTACTATGCTAAAAGGGAAGCTCTTCTATTAAATGTCATGCCTTGCAACTTTAAAAAGCAAAATCTGTATTTCATGGAGGGAGGGAAGGGTCCCTCTCTTCTAAGAAAAATAGACTGGACAGGTGAATGCATGCATGCATGTTTAGAGTTGCTTCTCGGAAGACAAAGAGGTGATAGCAACTATTAAAAAATGAATGAATGAATGAATTGAAGGTCTAGCTCAGGCTACAGTATTTGCCTTAGTAGAGCTTTCATGTTAACAGCTCCAGGAGGGGAAACCCTTACCTCTGGGTTAAAAATCCCTTCCTTGGTATTTCGCTAGCAATTGCTATCCCCTAACTGCCAGTGAAGGCAGAAGAAAGAATAAAAAGGATCATAGCGTTGCCATTGACAAAACAGAATGCTGAAAATAAATTGTCTTTTCCTTTGTCCCACAGTTTTGGGATTAAAGCCAGAATAGGATAGGAAATCCAGTAATATTTCTGAGGTTGATACCCCATCTTTAAGACCCTGTCTTTAAAAATGAAACTAGCAGGCAAGTAAACACCTGAATAATCAAAAATTACCAAAGAACAACAAAACAAGAAAACTTAACGATTTTTACTTCCTATTCTTATCCCCTCGCCCTATAACTGTGACATCTCTTGCATTGCTCAGTTGCCTGTGTGTCAAAATAACTTGTGGACGTTGGAAACTATTTGAATGTGTATTGTGTGGAATGTAATAAAGTGATGATATTTTTATACAAACATCTGGGGGTTTTTTTTCACCTTGGCTTGAGAGAACAAAGTTGAAATGTAGGCTGTGAAAGAACTGATGTTTCCAAAGTTTATACATCGCCTTCTGAGCCACAGGGCATTTCTGTGGGAGGTAGGTTCTCCTTGAGGCTGAATGCCAGCTTCTCCTTCTTTTATTTTTTTATTACTGCTTGTTAGGAGTTTTATCCAATTTGTGCAGCTGAGCCAATTTTTATGATTGGTGTGGGATTTTGCAAAAGTTGCTAAGTGCTAAATTACTCAATGTGATTCCACAAAATTTCTCTTGATGGCAAATCCCCGGAGATTGGACTCTACTTTCAAAGGGCCCCCAGGGGGCAGGTGGGATGAGAGAAGCTGAATCATGTACTCATCTCTGCAGAGACAGATAGCTTCCTTTGGAGAAGCAGTGACATCTTACCCCTTGCCTACCAAATGATTACTTCCACGGGGACGTCGATCTCCAATTTATGAGCACTTTCCCAGACAAAACGGGAACTTGTAGCATGTTCAGGCTCGAAGATATTCCAGACTTTGGAGCAAGTAAGGAAGATAATTATATGATTACTCTGAAGCTGGAAATATCATGGCAGAACATTTTATAAAAGGAACAATTCTATAACAACTTTGAGGAGGGGGACTTGGGGAAACTTACTCAAAAGCCAGAGCTTATTGACAAGTATTTTTCTTTTGGTTCTCTTTCTTGAGTAGTTAGTGATATAGTTATATAAAATATTTCTCTTTTATATGAGGGGTATTAGGGGCAAAAAATCTAGGAAAGACAGCCTCCCAGCTATTCAGTGTTTCTAGATGGTGGTCAAAAGAGGTGGTGGAAGAATTTTCCATCACTCCCTATTCGTGGGGTGTATTAGAAGCATTCCATCAACCCAGGAGCCTTCCTCAGAGTCTGAGAACATCCCTAAAGGTCCCAAGAAAAGGGGCTTGTCCAGGAGATCCTATTTCTGTCAGAATCCTGCTTTTCTTCCTTTCTAAACCTAGATGCAGGAAGGAGTACTTCTTACAGCTATAAACCTGCCCAAGTGGTGGTAAAGGAAACAGGCTTCTGGGTTTTCAGATCTTACAGGAAGTGTTGTCAGTACAGATGGCTCAGTATAGATGTCACTGTCTGTCCTCTGCAGGAGAAAAGAGCAGAATGTCCATGTTTAGAGCATTGTTTGTTCCTCTAATGACAAGCATCATTACCCATTTTGTCTACATAACATTTGGCTATTCTTAAAGCCATTTGTTCCCATTAGCAAAAGATGAAATGAAAGCATCTCAAAAGCATTCATTTCCAGCGAAGAGCCAGGCTCAGTCAACATTTTCATGAGCTGTCCTGGGACCAAACTTGCCAGAGTGAATTAAATTAGCCATCGCTTATGCTTCGTTAGCATTACTGTTTTGGGAGCCACCTTTGAGAATTTCATCATTGCTTTTCCCACCTTGGTTCTGATCCCAAGGCTTATTCTATGTGCACTCTCTCTTCCCCAAAATAGCAGACTGTTGCGATTCTGATCTTAGGCGTCAAACACAGCACTGTTATCAGTATGGTATTTCAGACCTAACCCAAGCATAAATGTTACAGAAATTGTATTTCCATGGGTCATAAACACCAGATGTCAAGGCCCAGGTTCGTCTATCTTGGCTCCTACCTGGCCTTATGATAGTTTAAATGTGCATTCTTGCGGTTGAAGCATGACTCTGCCCTCCTAAGCCCAGATACCCGCAGCCTGGCCAATCGGCTGTGGCCCTATGTTTGTTTTCATCACCTCTCTTCACTGACTCTGCAGTTGTTTTGCACGAACATTGTTGGCCTTTCTGTAATCTCCGATGAAAAGAACTTCATTTTTAAATTTTAATTTGTCCGTGTTAATGGGCTCCACATCTGAGCCGGACTGCAGATCTGTAGGTGCGGCTTGTTTTCTCTCTTTGATTGTGTGCATCACTGGGGCTCTTGCAGCTGTAATTTGCCTTTCATCCACTTCACTGACGGCCCAAAGAAAACACAAAAGAAATCCAACCAGAGGAAAAGGAGGGGAGAGGGAAACACCAGCCAATGGTCTTATAATCAGCAGGGGAAAGATTGGCTTATATAAATAAATTAACAGCTAGGAACAGTGTAGGATTTAATGAAGCCTGACACAGATCAGGTGCACTGGAGTATGTCTCGAGGTTCGATATAATCAGAAACCTGCGCCTTTAGAAGGCGTCAGGCCACAGGCCTCAGCCAGACTACATTTGCACTGTGTGGAGGAGTTCCTTTTGGCCCCAAACTTAAGCATGGAAGAGGTACAAGATTTGGAGACTTGCCAAAGAGAAAACCCCCTTTTAGCATGGTTTCTGCATGGCACAGGGCAGAATCTTGGTGCTTCAGGGCAAACAACAGAAACCATTCTTG